GCTTGGAATATTTGCTCAGTAAAATGAGAGCAGCCACTGACCAGCGACAGACAAGACAAGTCATTAGCAAGCTGTCCAGTTGGCTCAAGCACTGCCTGTCAGCACATGGACTCTGCCGCACTGTGTGAGTGACCAAGGATGGGATTCTGCTGGGCATGGGGCTGGGGGTCTAGAATGAAATGGGGCTTGGACCCTCATTGGAAAGCCTGATGTGCTGTGAGGACCAGGGGAATTGGGGAGAGAGCAGGAGAGAGAGGCCAGGCACACAGTGGGGGCCGAGGGGAGCGTGCCAGGCCCTGGACAGCCCTGGCACCTCCTGCGGCCAGATGTTAAGACAGACTCCTGAGCAAAGAATGGCTGCCACCACCAAGTCCATAAACTCCCTCTCTGGGAACCATGAAGGTAATTTAGTGTCTCCTTCTCCGGAAGCGCTTGAATTTGTCAGCGGCAGCTGCGTGAACCTGGGCTGTAAATCATAAAGCTTTAGGTGTATTTCTCTTGAGTTGACATCCCCTTATAAATAATACAGGGAATGCTTTTTTTTCTTTGTTGGCAGAAGACTGCTTTCTTCCTCTCTTCTGTTTTTAGAGTGACCTTCTTTCTCAGTCAAATTGGAAATGTCCACGAGGCTCATTTATTATGCCGTACCATGTGCCAGGTAACATGGAGACTGATATACAGAAGTCCTAGTCTCTACTACTATACAGTCTTCTAGTAGAAAGGATACTGGGATGACTTGGTAATATCTACTCAAATTTAAAATGCAATTCTCTTTGACCCAGAGAATTATTTGCCTATGTGCATAAGGATGTGTATTTTTTTGAAGCCTGACAGGTTAATAGCAAATATCTGGAAAGCACCTAAATGTGAAATAAGAAGACTATAGTTAAATAAAGTATGGCATAACTTTAAGATCTTTTGCAGGAATTTCAAAGAATGAGATAGACATGTGTACCAGTAAGGAAAGATCTCCAAGGTATATTGTTGAGAAAAAGAAGTACATTGTAAAATTTATGAATACCATAGTATACATAATATAGTGTCACATCCTTTATGTTTTTTAAAAGCCCACAAATATGCTACATATTTGCTACAACTACATATAGATACTGCGTGATTTATGATGGTATTATGTCCTAATAAACCCATCATATGTTGAAAATATCATTAGGTCGAAAATGCATTTAATACGCTTTACCTACTGAACATCATAGCTTAGCCTAACCTACTTTAAACATGCTCAGAACTTTTACATTAGCCTACAGTTGGGGAAAATCATCTAACACAAAGCCTATTTTATAATGAACTGTTGAATAACTCATGTAATTTATTAAATCCTGTACTGAAAGTGAAAAAAAGAATGATTGTATGGGGCTCAAAGTACAGATTCTACTGAATGCCTATCACTTTTGTACCACTGTGAAGTGGAAAAATTCAGTCAAACCATTGTAAGTCAGCGACTGTCTGTATAATATACATTTATGATACACACACACACACACACACACACACACAGAAAAAGATGTGGAAAGATATACACCAAACTGAAGACGGTGGATTCCTTTGGGAACAGAACTAAGGTTGGGGTGATGGCCAATGGGATTTTTTAGCCTTCTGTTATATTTTAAGTTTCTGAAAAAGGGAAGTATTTATAGACTATTTGTGCAATTAAAAAGAGCTAGAAGTCAAGGTACCTGAACTCTGGGTCAGTCCTTACTATAAATTTGGGTAAGATCTTTCCATCTACAGACCCCGGTTCTTCTCATTTATATAATGAGCAAGTTGGACTAGATAATCCCAGTTGCCCTTTCCAACTCAAAATATCTAGAATCCTCAAATTGTAAACATAGCCAAAAGAGGGAGCTCAAAACATTCAAGGCTTAATGCCACAGGATCTGTCACTCAGTAAGCACATAATAAATATCTTTTGGCTAAATGTTAAAAGTTGAATAATAATCCTTAGGCAGGTTTAGTATTAATAACAGGTCAGATTTTTGCCAGTAAACTTTGCCAGGCGAGTGATCCACACCCTGGGTAAATGTCGGAGAACCACGGCAGTGTGACCAATACAAACATAGGCTTTGGAGGGATTCAAGCTTAGGTTCAAATCCTGGCTCTTCCACTTACCTGCTGTGTGACATTGAGTGAATTATCAACCTTCTCTGAGCCACAGTCAATGCTGAGCTCTAACAAATATGGTTAATAGTTTTGCTCTAGCTTTGGTGCAATAGTCAGTTATTCACTCAACAAACATTTATTGAAGTCCAACAATGAACCAGCCCTGGGGACACCAACATGAAGAAGAGAGACAAGGAGTCCCTTCTTAAAAATGTGTGAGTGTTTTCCTCGTCTCCTGCCTCTTCTCTGTTCTTGGTGCAAGCACTTCCACTCTGAACTGCAGCTGGACAGGCCTGAGGACTTGGAAGGGAAGAGAGCAGGAAAAGGGGGAAGAGACTCTAGAGGGGGCTGTCCGGGGGTGCTGAGGGGCTGCTGTAGGAGCTGGGGTAAGACCATCTATGCATTAATCAGTTGCTTTCCCCCTCTCTGGGTCTCAGATTCCTCTTTTGTAACATCATGCTGTGATGATGTCTATCTCCTGGGATTCCTCTGGGCACCAAATATCAGATATTAATGCTGATAAAGCAGTTAATTTTCTTGAGCTCCATCTAGGTGCCAGACTCTGAGTGAAGAACGTTTCATGTATCATCACATTATCCCTGACAACAATCCTGATTTAATCATGAGGAAACAGAGAAGTTAAGCAACTTGCCTCAAACCACACAGCTGCAGATATACAAATAAAGGATTGGAATCCAGATGTTCTGACTTCAGACCATGCACTGAAACCACTGCACTCTACCATCTCCCATTCAAACAGGTACCAAACAACAGGGTACAATTCATGGGTTAAGGATGGTTATCATGCACCCTACTATCTTTAGCATTATGAAACTTAGATATTATGTTAATGAGCATTCACATTCTGCTCTGACCGCCTCCAGTTCTGCTGCTGCTGCCTTATACACTGGTAGATGGGGGAAAACAAAGATATTTCATTATCAGGAGAGAAAAAGTCCCCATCATTTGGGGTTCACAAAGGACATGATTCTTTCTACAGGCAGACTTTTCTTTTTAATTAAGAGCAGCAATCAGATAATATTCCTTTAACTCCCCAGACACACCCCCTTCTTGGAGCCCCCTTTTGATATTTTCTACATCAAATCTTTCAGCCTAAGATTATCTGCAGACATGCACCAGACATTTGCCTTTTGACAAATATACCCAAAAGGTTAGCATGAACTCCCACCCCCCTCCTTTTGTAGACACAAGCCCCTGCTTCAGAGAAAACACATTTCAGGGCAGGAATGGATTGTCTAGGTTTGCTCCATTAGTCTGTGATTTTTCTTTCTGTCTTATCACATTTTTTTTTGTTATCACAGAAGCAGTGTGCATTTCATCTTAATTATGTGTCTGTTTAATACATGATTTCTGATTTATAGCCATTAACTCCTAATTACAAGAGGGCTGCCCTTGAAAAGAAAAACCAATAGAGCTCAGAGAAATGGAGATAAACAGCAAGGGATAAGATGGATTTAAGTCATGCAACTAAGGGCAAACTCCGAGGCCCATTTGTTGGGACAACCTACTGTTGGCAATCCTGTAGATTTGTGAGGGTCCCATCTTAAGCCATGATTGAATTCCTCTCCCTCTTTTCTAGGAAAATTATAAAATTCTGGCATTGAAATAAAGCTAAAATCTTCTAGTAAAAAATCATTCAGCTCAACTTTGTTTATAATGACAAAGTAAATATGTTTTTAAAAAATTTATTTATTTATTTATTTTATTTTATTTTATTAAGACTATTCATGAGATACAAAGCTAATTGTCACTCCTCGTGCCCATGATGTGAGGGCCAGATTCATACTGGGGCATGCCCATTACCAGAAATTACATTTGTACCCCGTGTCCCCACCCAATTATCCCCAACCTCCCTCCCCCTCTCCTTTTCTCCCTCACTCCGCTTTGTAGCCCAAGGAATGTTCCTTCCCTCTGTAAGACCACCGTATTACTGTGTTGTTTCTTTCCTTCCTTCCTTTCTCTCTTAGCTCCCACATATAAGTGAGCGCATGCAGTGTTTATCCCTCTGTGCTTTGCTTATTTCACTCAACGTAAGTTTCTCCAGGTTCATCCATGTTGTTGCAAATGGGAGTATTTCATTCTTTTTTTGTGGTAGAGTAATATTCCATAGGGAATATATACCACAGTTTCCTTATCCAATCATCCATCGATGGACATTTAGGTTGATTCCATATCACAGAAATGGAAAAAACAATCTTACCTTTCATATGGAAAAACAAAAACCCCTGAATAGCCAAAGCAATCCTGAGCAAAAAAAAAAAATAAAGCCAGAGGCATAACACTACCTGACTTCAAATTATACTACAAATATTGTAACCAAAACAACGTGGTACCAGTATAAAAATAGACATTCAGACCAGTGGAGTAGAATTGAGAACCCAGAAATCACTCCTCAGGCTTATAGCCATCTGATATTGGACGAATGCAAAAGCAAATATGTTTATAAAGAAAAGTTTAAACTTGTAACTATGAATGAGTGGAAAACAAGTATGACTTGCCTTAAATAGAAGGCAACTATGGTAACTTTTTTTGTTTTTTAAGGTTCACCCTGTGCTATTTAAATTCATCTGGAAAAACCATGCTTTGGGAAGAACTACATTAGATCTTGATCATTTAAACCACTGGGGTCAGAAAATACAATTATATGTCATGTTTTTCAGATGACACAGTGGAGACTCAGAGAGGGTAAGTGACCTGCCTAAAGTCACACAGCTAGGAAGTGGCAAGGTCATACCTCATACAGTCAAGACCATGCTTGTCCTTGCCTAGGCCATGGGAAATGGAAGACTTGAATAACAACCTCCAAAGTCTGAGATTCTTCAAGCTATTGGCTATCCAGAGCAGCAAGAAGATACTCTTACCTGGGGCTGAGGATGTGGCTGCTGGTGGCTGACTGTCGAGAGGGGGCTCTCATGGTGTCTGTGGCCAGGGACAGAGAACAGCTCAACCAGGACTGCAGACTGCCCTCTGGCTGGGAGCTGAGGATGGAGACGTTATCCCTAGGACCAGAAGGCAGGAGACTGTTATCAGAATGACACCCACGTTAACAGCAATAACTAGATACTCACCTCATAGCATAAGCCAGACATTGTGTTGAGTGCTGTGCATGCCTAACCTCATTCACCATTCCTGAGAGGTCGGAGCCAGTGCCATAACCACTCTGCACATGGGAATACTGGGATTTGGAGAGGACAACTTGGGTCTTGGCCAAGGTCACCCAGTTAGTCAATGATGAAGTTGGGATTCAAACCCCATTCCTTTTGATTCCAATGCTCATACTATTAACCATTGCACTCTTCCTTGGGGAGTTATACACCTCAATATAGATGTTGAGGCTTCTCCAGTTTTTGAGTAAAACTTGGCATTGAATTTAATACTAAATGGTACATTCATGGAAGACAAGTATATCAAGCATGAAGGTCTTAACATTTTCCTTACCTTAACATATTTGCAAACAGGAACTTTATTTTATGCTCCCCTATTCTAAAAGCGGCACAAGAAAGGCCCATGTGGGTACTCCATAATTATTTTCTAGTCGAATGTTCATTCAATATTACATATATATTTGTGTGTGTGTGTGTGTGTATGTGTAGTTTGTAGAATATTCTATGCCAGTCACCATGGGAAGGGAGGTGTACACGTGGACTTAACACTGGCTTTGTTCTCAAGGCTCCATCCTAGCAGAACTGATAAACACATACATATATAAATAACCACAAAATAAAGGAGAAATTATTAATGCCATAAAGTGAGACAGAGGTAGGTTCTGATGATAATAAGGAGGGAGGCTTGCTTCACGTCTTGGAGGCATAAGGGAAGGTATTGAGCTATGGCAGTTGAGCTGTATCTTCTTTGAAGGTTTGTGCTTGGCCACACAGGGAATGGAGAAAGGAATTCTAGGTGGAAGGAACAGTGTACACATGGGTATGGAGGTCATAAAAGGTCAGGGCATAAACGATATGGAAAATAGAAATCACAGGTGAAGAGGGAAGTAAGGGTCAAAATGTGCAGCATGCAAATGGCAGTCTAAAAAGTCTATTCTGGGGCAATGGGGAGCCATAGAACGTGTTTGAGGAGAGTGGCATGATAAGGCATAGACGTCTTTCTGTCTGAAAGAAGCTGGACAGTTTAAAAATATGTCCCCAGTGCTATATGTCATTACCATGGAGTCAGGGTTCTCATGGGCAATGCTGATAATTCTCCAATTGGATATGAACATTCCCTCTGCAATCTGTTCACAGACAGCCAGAGGCTCACCATTGTAAGCTGCTCAGTTTTACTCGACGTCAACTTACATCTCTTTTTTTCCATGGCCACCACAATCCACTGCCGTCTGGACGCTAGAAGGAGACACAAGACTCCGTTATCTTTGTGCTGCCAAGGGCTGGTGAACATGGTTGTCAACACTAGATAGACTTGGGTTTGAGTCCCGCTTCCAACCTTTGCTGCTGTATGATCTTAAGGAAGTCACTTGCCTTCTCTGAGACACCTGTCCTCCTTTGTAAGATGTGGCTAATAATGGGGCTCTGCCTCCAGAGTTGTGGAGCAGAGTAAGTGAGATAACCCTTGTAAAGATTTCAGCGTGGTTCCTGGCAAACAGACGGAGCTAACTCATGGCAGCAAGCCCTACCACTGTTCTTGTTTTAGTACGCCTAGTACTACTGCTATTATTAACAGCATTGTCACTGCCAATAAGCAAGGCATCGCTTTATGTTCTTTGTGAGTACCAGCAAATCAGACATGGGCTGGGTAGGTTCCCAGGGCATTTTGGGAAACTCCAAAACTAATTATAATAGCAGCCATTCTTTAGAGAGCATCCCGTCATTCAACAAACATGCTATACACACAATCTCATCTACCCCCCCACCCCCCACCCCATGTGTTTCCACTGTAGAGATGAGGAGCCTGACACCCTTGTGCAGGCTAAGGGTCATGCAACTTTGAATTTTAGGACCATAGGGCCTTTTAAGTTCGTGTTCCTATCCAGTTTGCAACTCCCAGTGTGTGGGTGCAGACAGCCAAATCACAAACTTCAGACACCAAAAGCATCATTTTAGTATTGGGTCCTCAGGCTGAGACCTTGCAGCTTTACTCTGCTGGAATTTGAGCAACTCCTTCCTTTGAAGACCTGGTTGCTTCCTCCTAGGGATGTACCTGCCACTTCTTGGTCCCTACCCCCAAGGACCTGTGACCCTTGGGGGCTTCTATTTATGTGTATTGTCCCCACCAGACTGCAACACCCCTCATGAGAGAAAAACACATTTTATTCATCTTTCCACTCCAGAGCTCAGGCCAGACCAGAGGTTGTTAGACAATGCTTGATAAATCCAATAGAAGAGGACTCAGTCAGCTGCAGCCACTGGCAAAATCCAGCCTACCACCTATTTTTATAAGTAAAGTTTTTTGGTCTGTGATTGCTCTTTGCACTACAATAGCAGAGTAGAGTAGTTGTAGTGGAGACCATGTGGCTAAATATTTACTATCTAGCCTTACAAAGAAAAAGACTCGGCAATAGAACAAAAGAATCTTTTGTGAATGGCCCCATGGGAGACAGAATAATGGTCCCCAAAGATGTCCACATCCTAGTCTCTAATCCCAAGAGCCTAGAAATATGTTTCTGACATGGTGAAAGTTTTACTGGAACATAGCCATGCTCATTCATTTACATTTTGAATACTTCCTCACATACTTTGTTTGACTAAACACCAATCTTTACCTCAACTCAGCACTCAGGAAAGTCTTTGTAGCCCAACAACTAATCAAAGTCCATGCTGGTGCTAATTCTTGCCCACTGCTTACCCTAGCCAACTTCATGAGTATAACCCCATGGATGCACTCAGCGTTCAGATTTGTTCCTTTCTGAAAGGGGGACACGGACCTATACCAACCATACCGATGTGCTCCCCTACACCTGTGGCTTACCTGTGGGCATAGCCAATGGGGAACTCAGCTGACAATTGGAGAGGAGGAGGGAAGAGAAGGAGGTTGGAGTATTTATCATCCTGGATTTCTGGATTTCACTGTACTGCATCTCCTTGGCCTGACTCCATCCCTCAACTAAAGGCCAGAGCTCCTCCTGCCAGGCAGCCCTGTCTCACAGCCCACCTCCTGGATTCCAGCAATTACACGCTCTCCTCTCTTCATCAGGCTCAGCTACAGTTACTCCTTCCAGTTGTTTCTAGCCCCTGGGTGCTGCACCATCCCTTGGGGCTTCCCTACACTGAGCCCACACCTTTGCAATCAGTCTCTTTATTACATTCCCTTCATTTGGGGCTTGCCTTCTGGTTTCCACTAGACTCTATTACAGTACTAATTTCAGTGCTCTTTTCACCTAACAGGAAGACCTGGGTTTGCTGAGCCAATATTTTACATGACCAACAAGCAGGCCCCAGGCATGACCCATCACTGCCCTATTAACCACTGTTAACCCTTTGTCACTGTGGAAAAGAATGGTGAAGAATCTAAAGAAGCAATCTTATAAGAACACAAAATTTTCAGCAATCATTATTAGCGTTTCCTGAATTTGTGACTCTGGGAAGCAACTAGCCATGAGGACAAATAGACACAGGTATAGATGCTTATTAGTTCTACATTTTTATAGTATCTGTGCACTGACTGCTGCTGCCTGTGAACCTGTTCCATCGAATTTGAACAGAACCTCTGAAGCTGAAGTCAAGACCCGCTGGGTGGTCTGTCTATTTGTTCGACCATGATGAAATACTGTCCAGACCAAGGGTGGTTTCTAACCTAGACCACATATGCGATGCCATTTGGGAAGGTCTCAACAAAATAGAGTATGTTGAAAATATACAGGCTGGATTGAGAAAAGCTCCTGGGAACTGTATCCCACATTGGATGTGAGCACATGTTGAAGGCACCTGACATCTTTGTCTTGAGGAGGTCTGGAGCAGAGGCTTGGGTGTAGGGGGTGAAGAAAGGCTTTCAGGAAGAAGCAGGGGGAGTTTTGTTCTGTCTCCTCCTGAGGAGCAGTAAACCAGATGGGTAAAAATCACCACCACATCGACTTTATACACATCATGGGTTATTGGTCCTGGTAGGTACTTGAGTTTGTACACCATGGTACATGGAGTACTTGAGTTTGGGAGACCCCCACAGGGGCTACCAAGGGGTCAGGAAGGGGGACCCAGGAGGAGGGATCATCCCCAGACATCCCTCTCACACTCTAATCAGAGGGTAGCTGCACTCTACCCTAAGCTACAATTTCTTACAAGAGTTTGCTTTGTTGTAGAAAAGGAGGTTCTACTAAAAGGAGGGAGTTTGAAACCCACTGATCCTTTCACCATATGAAGAAAGAGTCTCTGGGATACAAGCTCCATGTGGCAGTTCCCTGCCTGCTGGTTCCCCACTATACCTCCTGCCCTCACACAGAAGGCACTGGTTGATATTATCTGCTGAGTGAGCAAGCAGAGGCCCAGGAAGGGCCAGTGACCTGTCCGTAGTCCTGATCCATTTGGTGGTACAACTAGGACTGTAACCTTCATCTCCTGACATGCAGTCAGTGGTTCTTTCTCTCATCTTGGTGTCTATGGCTTTTAAAAAAAGAACTTGTGCCAGGAATTTGTAAACAGGGAATTGACGATGAGCAAGATAATTAATTAAATGTCTTCAGATGTGTTTCTTTAGGGTGAGTCTTTGTTCAGACAACTCCATTCTAAATGAAAATATTGCCTGGGGAGTAACACACGAATTCATTGGCACCATATCCCGGTGATAGACACAAGTTCATCATAATGACAGGCCAGTTTATGGGCAGAGAACAGAGACCTTAACAAGGGAAAGGAGGAAGCACAGGTGCATTTGACACAACAGCAGAACTTGATCAGTAGAAGTGTGGGTGATTGTACCAAGAAGTGACCAAGTGGAAAAAAAGAAAAGAAAAAGAAATGTGGGTGACGGGGTCAGTCTGAAAGTTAAATCATGGCTCCATCACCTACTGTGTGGGCGGAGACAAGTTCCTCACCTTCTTTATGCTCCAGTTCTCTCATCTGTAAACTGGAAATAATAATGGTAGGAACCTCACAGACTTGTAGGGACAATGCATGCCAGGGTAGCATGGTACCTGGCACAAAGTAAGTCCTCAAGAAAGTATGCCTATTATTACAACTATCATTATTTCCTGTAATGCCACAGTAGATATAGAAGTGTGGAGCCCTGACTCCCTGTGCACCTCATTAGCTGGGCATCTGGGCTAGAAACATGCTCAGAAGTCTGGGTGGTCTGTGCACCATCATTTAAACACATGCTATCTTGCACTAGGGTCCTGCATGGTTTTAAATTGGACTGTGGCATCGATCCTCTTAGATTAATGGAGAAATGCTTTAAGCTGTTCTCCAAGGCCTGAAGCATGCTCATTACTCATGGGGGCAAACTAGGAGGTAAGAGTGTTGTAGGAAAAGAGCTACTGGCAGTTCCAAAGTCTGTCTTACTTACTGTGTAGCGGGAAACTATAGTCTGGCCAGAGCCTGGGACCACAGTGAGTAAATTAACTCATAGGTATGTCATAATTGGCAGCCACGATCTTTGGTTAGACCCAGATTTTCCTACTTGTCCTACTGCAGCTTAATTTTAGCCAGATTATAACAGGATGTATGTTGGAAAATGTCCAACTTACACTCAACTCAGCAATAGAGGACTCTTTTCCAGAACATTCTTCTGACATGGAGTCAGATGGAATTGATGCACTTTCAGCGGACCCAGGGGTCAGAGGTCATCCATTGACCTCTCCACACTCCACCCAAATGCACAGCCAAGACAACAGACAGAGCAGCTGCTGACTCTGGGCCAGGAATAGATGGGGCTCTCGGTCAGCTGATGCATCCCTCCCTCTATGAGTAATGAGTGTGCTTCAGGCCTGGGGGACCAGCTTAAAGCATTTCTCCATTAATCTAAGAAGGTTGACACCACGATCCATGTTACCATGCAGGGCCCTAGTGCAGGAGAGCACATGTTTAAATGCATCCTCCTAGGCTACCTGTCTTTCTGAGCACGTACCCACGTTCCCAGCCTGGAAGTGTTACACTCAGATCTAATTCCCAACATGGGGAAATAGGACTTTCCGTAATTTGAACAAGTCTCTCAAAGAACCTGACCCACAGCTGAAGCATCTCCCCTCTGTCTTTCTCTCTCTCCCTCTCTCTCTCTCTCTCTCTCTCTCCTGGGGTTGGTTTGAATCCCAATTGAGAGCTCAGTTTGGAGAAGTACCTCAGACCAATGCCTCAGGCTCCAATCCGAGCCTCTTACCTCAGGTGATAAGAAAATTAGGAGCTGAGAGCAGCATGACAAAAAGACAGGTTGGCCCTGGGGCGAGAGCCAGGGGTTCTGCTCTGGATGGTGGATTTACAGCCTAGCAACACATATGCTTCTTTTTATTGTTGCCAATTTTATGTAACCAATTTAATTGCACTGTGATCCGAGAACATTTTTGTACAATGTTAATTCTTTGAAATGCATTGAGACTTCTTTGCTGCCATTTTTCCCCCAATCTCCCCATTCCTTTGATATTATTGAAATCTATGCTGCTTCATTCTCAAATCCAAGTTACAGGGCAGTGAGTTAGGACAGAGGACCGCTGAGCATTAGGAAATGCTTCCTAAGAACCAACAGAACATGCCAGTAAGGGTCCATGCTTGGTTTAACACTCGCCTGTCGCTGTCCTGAAATTCTTAATAAATTTTTTTAACAAGGAACCCCACATTTTTACATCACACTGGACCTCACAAATGATGTAGCCAATTCTGCCTGGGGTTCTCAGGCACTTTGAGAAACTGCGGGTCTCGGTGGGTTTCCATGGGCTATTTCCAGAGGAGTAGAAGGAGGATGGTCTTCTTTCACTTTCTAGAACATGCATCCCTCTGTCCTTACTCATTTTTCTCCAGATATTCCCATGGCTGGCTCCTTCTCATTTAGGTCTTAATTACAATGCCTTCCTCTCAGACAGGCTGTGCTATGTACCCCGCTATATACCACAGCACCACTTCTCTGTCTTCGTAACTCCGATCATACGCTCATGTTTTTTTTGTCAGCCTGTTCACTTTATCCATGAACACACACTCACACACACACACACACACACACACCCTCCACCAGAATGCAGGTTCCATAAAGGCAGGACAATTCCCGGGCTTTTCTCCCTCTCTGTTCCTCCGAAACTCAACAAACCTGGGCTCCAGGTACAGTTCCCAACATTAACTTCTGCCTGACTTCAGAAAAATTATTCAGTCTCTCTTTATCTGTAATATGGAGAATAAAGATAACAAGAAGCAAGTGGAATAACACAAGCACCTAACACAGTGTCTGGCATGGAATAGGTGTGTGCTAAGAATTTGCCAAATGAATGAATGATTGTGTTGACGATGTGCAGACCCCTGCAAGCATAGTCCAAAGTACAGTGCTTAGGAGTCATATTTTTTCACTTACTTCTTATTACTAACCCATCTTAGAGGTGAAGAGACCGAGGCTCAGAGAGGTTGAATAACTTGCTGAAGGTCATGCAGAAATTTGCCATTGGATCCCTAACTGAAAATCAGGCTTGTTGAAATGCAGAGCCTATGCCCTCCCCAATTCTTCCCTCACTTTCACTTGCAATAGTCCTACACACTGCATGGGGCTTGTCCAGCACAAGGTATGTTTCTTTACACCTAGTGCTCTCCAGTCATTTCACACCTCACAGGAACCCTGAAATGCAGGCGGGTCCCTTCCAGCTTTAGGAACTGTGAGTCAGGTGCTGTGTGGAAACTAGAGATTCAGGGAAGGAAAATGCATCAGAAGCTCAACAGGAAGAAAGATTTAAGGCCCTAGAGACAGAAGATCATGAAAATGCCCACAGAAATCTAGGGTTCATATTGGATTCCTGAGCACCCAGGGTCTGGAGCTCAGAAAAGGTGGATCAGAACAGAGGATGAGCATGAGTCTTGTTACCTGGATCAGTGACAGATAAAGGTGTCTCCTGTTAGAATGAGGGTGAGGACAGGGTCCCTTTAAGGCCAGAGAAGATCTCCACCAAGCAGAGACTGGAGTCATGTCTGTGACTCTGCGACCTCACCACTAGGCTCTCCTTTCCCAGGTGAGAAGTCTGTTTCTTACCTTTCCTTTCACCTCTCTAGCTTGCCATCCACACTTCTGAGTATGGACCCTCTGCCTCTTTCCAACCTTGTTATTTAAAAAAAGATTTACTGTTTATTAGAAAAGCGATCTCTTGCTGTGCAAGTGAAAATGGTTCAAAAAGTTTGCTTATGGACCGAAGATACTACTATCTACAGCCATTCATCCCCATTATAATTAATGCAAAAGCTTTCGTGTTTCTATGAATGGAACAGCCAGCCCAAGCATCCAGAAAGTAACATTGACAAAGGGAGTTTGTACTTAGAGACCTAAGTTCTATCATGACACTAACAAAACTGGAGAAGAAGGGGGTGGTGGGAGGGGGAGGGAGAAGGGAGAAAGGTGGGGATCCTAAATGCAATCATGAGTCGGGAAGCAGCTACAACATCAGTATTTGCTGTTTCACCAGCAGTTTGGCAGCTGTGAAAATTAGCAGGGAATGGTGAAAATCCTTGAAGTGTGCATGCATGGAAGCCACCTTTGCACAAACTAAAGAAATTTTTTAGATAAAGCCCTTTATTTAGAAGCAAGAACATGGGGTTTTAGATTCCACTGGGTCTCTGTTTTGTGGCTGCTGAGCATGAACATTTTTATGGGAGAGGTTGAGGTTACAAATCTCCGAGCGAGAAAAGGGAACTCTCCCACATTGCTGGTGGGAATGTAAATTGGTACAGCTACTGTGGAAAACAGTACAGAGGTTTCTCAGAGAACTAAAAATAAGTCTGCTCTACAACCCAGCTATCCCACTACTGGGTATATACCCTAAGGAGGTGAAATCAATGTATCAGAAAGACACCTGCACTCCCATGTTCATCACAAAGCTGTTCACAATAGCCAAGAGATGGAATCCACCCAAATGCCCATCAATGGATGGTTCATCCCAATATTATCATATATCCCCTTTATTATTATATTCATTTTACAAATGAAGGAATGAGGCCAAGATTGGACATGGAACTTGCTCAAGATCACACACTGGAGATCATTTTCTAGTCCCATTATCTTGCCAAAGGCTTGGCAAGCCAGGCCAAGCAGTTTCAGCTGTAATAAGGTAACATTAGCAGGGCAGCATCCTGTCCTCCTTACTTAAGCAAGCCAGTTATCCCTCCACCCTCTAAACCCCGTTGGGTCCCCCAGCAGATGTGGCACCCAGATCAGCTAAAATCCCATAGAGCTCCCCAGGGTGCAGCCCACCTGCTGTGCCCAGCCCCACCTAGCCCCTTACAGGTTACCTCTCTGTATCACTGTCACTGGATGCCACCTCTTCCAAGGCCGCCTGCAGGTCAGCAATCCGCCGGATGGATGTCTCCAGGTCTGTCTGGAGGGTTTGCCTCACTGCTGCAAGCTCCTCCACGTACTTCTCCTGGAGACAGAGACCACATGTTGACCTTGGGCAAGAACCCCATGTACCCATGAGTTCACTGGGGAGGAGACACACCCAGGGATGAGCCTGGTGTTCACTAAGCACCTATTATGTGATGGATACTCCATGAGGGGCTCTCTCTGCAGATGGGCTGGTCATAGAGGAGGGAATGGACTCTTGGGGCCATCCAAGGATGCAGAACTTGTCCTCCATTGCAGGGCATGTGGAACCCAGTATGTCTGACGCAGGGCCATGCTGCCTGACGCACAGTGGGTGCTTAGCCCCTCTTGGATAAATGAATAAATGTAAAAACCAAGAACAGTTATGGACGCTGGTTTTGGAAGCTGAGCCCTAGGAATGGATCTGGTGCAGGAGGTTAGGAAAGGGCAGAACAAGAGAGGCTTTCCTTCAGCTCTGTCATCTAGATGTCCCCATCTTTCTGTCCTCAATGGCAGCAAAGGCAATGATGGAAAACCCAGCAAGGCTCCCTTATGAGTAGGCAAACTGGCACTTACGGAGCACTTTCCATGGCAAGCCCTGTGTTGTGTTTTACACTCATGAACGTCACCTCACAAGCCTGGCAAGTGAGTTCCTATTATTGTTCCCATTTTGCAGATGAGAAACTGAGGCCTTGAGAAGTGAAGACTGAATCGCTGTGCTGGAACTTGAGCTCAGTGCTTCTGACTCCCTTCTCTGTGCAGTGCTCATTCTCAGTGCTCAGTACTCTACGTCACCTCACAAGCCTGGCAAGTGAGTTCCTATTATTGTTCCCATTTTGCAGATGAGTAACTGAGGCCTTGAGAAGTGAAGACTGAATCGCTGTGCTGGAAATTGAGCTCAGTGCTTCTGACTCCCTTCTCTGTGCAGTGCTCATTCTCAGTGCTCAGTACTCTCTGGTACTGCCCTAATCAGACTTTGTCCAGAGTCCGGAAAATCTTTGACTTCCATTTGCAGCCGATTTCACACATCCCTACCCTTAACTCAATGATCGTCAACTGAGGGTGATTTCACCCCCTAGGGGACATTTGACAACGTCTGGAGACATTTTTGGTTGTCATGACTTGAGGGGACATGACAGGCATCTAGTGGACAGAGGCCAGGGACGTTGCTCAGCACCCTACAAGGCACAGGGCAGTCCCCACCACAAAGAATGATCTGGTCCCAAATGTCAATAGTGCTGAGTCTGCGTCTGGAGACATTTTTGGTTGTCATGACTTGAGGGGACATGACAGGCATCTAGTGGACAGAGGCCAGGGACGTTGCTCAGCACCCTACAATGCACAGGGCAGTCCCCACCACAAAGAATGATCTGGTCCCAAATGTCAATAGTGCTGAGTCTGAAATCCTGGGTTAAACCCAGAATCCTACCTTCTGGGAGTTAATCCTACAGGGGATAAATCAAAAGGCAGAGCAAAGCTCTGCACCCAAGGATGCTTGGAGCAGTGCTTTTGATGACACGAAGAAGCTGGAAGCTGCCTCATCACCCAGCAATTGGGAATGGTTAGGGAAATCACAGCATGTCACTTTGATGCTATTAGACAGACATTAACATTAGAAATAAGGATTGTTGAAGAAGCTGGAAGCTGCCTCATCACCCAGCAATTGGGAATGGTTAGAGAAATCACAGCATGTCACTTTGATGCTATTAGACAGACATTAACATTAGAAATAAGGATTGTGGCAGCGTGGAATGCATCTGTGAAATAATGTGCAGCAAACGGAATGAAACAGGAGTACCATACCCAAATCTATGCAAATAACACACACATCTGGAAAAACACTTGGAGAGTTGGGAATATTTATGAATGGGGGTGAATATATGAGATTTTTCTAGGAGTACCATACTCAAATCTATGCAAATAACACACACATTTGGAAAAACACTTGGAGAGTTGGGAATATTTATGAATGGGGGTGAATATATGAGATTTTTCTTTTAAGCTGTTCTAATTATGTAAAGTTTGGTTTTAGACCGTTTAAAGAAATACACATATACCAACTGATGAGAGTGCGGAGGGGGGAAACATCAGGATTTAGGGTCACATCTAAGTGCAATTCCCAGCTTCCCATCAAACTCACAAGTTGTGTGACCATGAACAGCTCACAGTCCCTCTCTGAGCCTGGGATCATTTTTCTTTATCTTGCACATGAGGTTGAGACCAGTGAGGTCACTCAGAGCAAGTAAAGAGCAGAGCCAGGGTTGGAATCCTGGTCTTCCTGGCTCCCAGTCCAGTGGTCTTTCTGGGGCCATGTGTGTATACCCTAAAGGAAGCCAACAAGGACCATGACGTGCCCCCATTGTAGGGACACGCTTAGCTCCCCTTGGCAGATCAGCTTGTTCACTCACATTATTGCAAGTGTGTGCCTTTCAAATGCTTTTGAATCTTTTCTGATTTAAGAGCGAGAGAGAGAGAGACAGACAGACAGACAGACAGACAGACAGAGACAGAAGCAGCAGCCGATTACCAAGCAAGCCTAGGGGCCAAACTGAGCTGATGAGAGAGGGGGTGCGTGGAGAGAGGTGGAGGTGCTGAGAGGGGCTGGCAGTACATTTCAGTTGATTGAAGCTGCCAGCTTTGAAATGCCCATCTCAGTCCCAACAAGGTGAGAGACAATCTGAGGCAGGGGCCCCCAGGCTGGAGGCCAGCGGGCTGTCAGAGGAAATAAAGGACAGAACGGAGGTGCTCACTACAGGATGCCAGCATGTCAGTTCATAAACACATCTAGAAAAATGGCTAGGTACAAAATCCCAGCAGCTTATGGGAGCATTTGCCCAAGCTCAACTCTTCCCTAGTGGGCTGGGATGATGGTGTCATTGGGAATCAACAAGCTTCTCCCAGGATATGTAGTACCTGTGTCTTTGGAAGACACAGGCAGAGAATTCTGGATTTCTGCCTTAGATCCTAGCAGAAGCCAACACATCAGGGCCATTGTAGGCATGTGGTAACTACATTGGACCCCACAAACATTGGTTGAATGAATGTCTATTTTAGAGATGAGGAAACTGAGCACCAGAGCAGCAAAATGACCTGTCTGAGGTCATGCAGCTGGGAGACCACAAAGCTGAGATGGGCATCTAGGTTTTGGGTTTTCCAGTGAGAACTCTTTAGACCACATATGCTGAGACATGAGAAATGAGCACAGATGTCCCTTCCCAGTTTAACTTGGGTGAACCTTGCCCAGGTGTCATGACACTTGCAAGAGTGTCATGCAGGAGCAGCAAGCATCTAAAATCTAAACCTTTGGGGAGCCTCCTGGTGGGAGGAAGAAAGGGATAGAGGCAGGCAGTCTCAGGCGTGGGTGGATCTGGGCTGGGACTAAGCAGGTGGGCAGAGGAAATGGGGTCCTGAAATGAGTCATATGCATAATATCATGAAAGTGAAAGTAGGCTCTGGAGCTGGGAAGCCCATGTTCAAATCCCAGCTCTGCTGCTCACTGGCTGTGTGATCTTCAGCAAGTTACTTAACCTCTCTGATTCTTAGTTGTCTCATCTGTAAAATGGGGGTAGTAACAGACCCTCCTTCACAGGACTGTTATAAGCTTGGCAGAGTGGAAGGGCTTAACCAATGGTGGCATTTTTATTATTTAATTCTTGAAGGAGAATAAGGAGCCTCAGAAAGGGTGATATTGTTCCAATGTCACTGAGGAGACTTGCCAAGGTCACATAGCAAATAAGGAGATTGGAATTCAGGACTCTGGCTCCAAAGCTATTTTGCTATCCTGTGTAGAAAAGACATGAACAGAAAATAAAGACAGCATAGAAGATAAGTTATCTAGACAGAGTAAAAAAGTTGAGAACAAAAAAGCCACAGATAGACAAGGGTACGTGAACTAAGGATAGGGTTCAGAGGCCTGCCACTACCCCTACCCTTCACTGTGACCCCTTTGCCCTCTGCATCCCATCCGCCATCTGCTGGGGACATGCATTAGCCTCAGCAGGAACACCCCAAGCAGAGAGATTTGGGAAATTCAGTGTCTGTGTAATCAGCAATCAGCAAATCTTTCCTGCTTCACGCAAAAGCCAAATGGAGCCTGCTGATTGCAGAGACTGAGTTGTTAGGCTAAGTGAATGCTGTGCTGCAGCCTCCCAGGGCAGACAAAGCAAAGCCCCAGACAAGGCTCCTTGAGAGACATGGAGGGAATGCACCAGGAGAAGGGGACTCAGGGGAACCCTGCTCAGGCCTGGGAGTCAGGCCTTTTTCCACCCTGCACGGAACATGTGCATCTGACTAGTGATGCTTGGGATTGGCTCACTGCTGCTCTATGGAAACGGGGCTGTGTTTTGAGGATATATATGAGCTTGGTCTTCTGTGTTGGCAGCTTTCCTTAGAGACTTGGAGCATGGAGAAGATTGGGGGTAAGGGATAATTAGGATATAAAACTATTTAGATGGTTAGATGTATTTACAGCGGAAACCCATTAAGAGGGGCCTTCAAATAGTTCATGGAAGGATTCATATTATCTTATAATTCAAGTTTTCCACTAACTTTTTGAAGTACCCCTGGATACCATATGCCTACAGTAACCTAAAACTACAATACAGTAATATACACACTGTAATAGACACACAACATATATATGTCCCAGAATATTTTATATATTCGTAGACTATTCGTTCATACTTATATTTATTTAATAAACATTTATTGGGTACCTTCTATGTGCTGACTAATCTAGGCATGGGTATTATGGATAAAGTCCTCACATCCATGGAGCTTACATTCTTGCAAGGACCTAATCTATCTGTATTGCCAGTGTCTGGAACATAGAAGGCACTCAATATGTGTTTTGGGATGGAATAAATGACATTATCATATGACTATTAGTTGTGAATGAAGAAAAGACAAGCCTATTACATGCACCTATTATATGCTGTAGATTCTGGCAATGTGATACCCTGTGTTCCTGAAGCCACTACCAGGGAAGACCCTCACCATAAGTGTTCCCTGGACTTTGGACTTCCCAGCCTCCAAAACTGTAAGCAATAAATTTTGTTTTCT